AGTAGTAGTAGTAGTCCAGGACCATTCTGTACCCACAGAGGCATCCATTCCATGCAGCAGTCCAAATCTTATGTATTTCATGGGATAATATCAATCATAAAGAGAAGCATAAGCCGGTTTATGTTTCCTAGAGATGTGTCTGCCCCTAACCAAATAGCTCTGTGCATTTAGAAATTCAACGTGATTAAAGGATTCAATTTTTCCTTGAAAATATGACAGTATACAAAGCAATAGCACCTGAAATGCTCCTAAACTTTATGAAAGAACACAGCCGTGGGAGGAAGCCTGACCCTCATCTCCTCAGAGACATGTAATAGACAGAGATGTGCGTGCTCGCAGCTCCCAGATGGGACGTGGACTTTAATGCAGAGATCACATTTGCAGCCCATCCACATTCCAGTCGCTCTTATTCAGGGTCTGGGGACCCACACATAGGAAGAAGGAATCAGTCTTTGTTCTGCTCACACCCTGGCCTCTTTAATAGCTTTCCCCATCCATCTTGCTGACCCGCTATGCTCCTTGGCTCCTTTAAGTAGTTTTCTGTAAACATCAAAATCCAAGTCCAGGGCCTTTCCCATCAGAAGTCTGCTCTCCATCAAAAGAAGTCCCAGAGAGGTGCCATGAGGTCGACCTGCCCTGAAGTGATCTCACTTCAGCTGCCCAGGCTGCACCTCCCCAGGCTGGTTACCATTCCCCTCCCTTCACCTCTCCCTGGGGAACCTACAGCAAATTCACTATCATTTGTACAGAGCACATTCGAATCTGAGAGGGGAAATGCCCATTCCTGCCCCCCTTTTTTTTTTTTTTTGGTGGTGGTGGTGGTGGTGGGGTGATGAAGAGCAGAGAGACCAAGCTTGTGAGAAGCTACAGGGAGGTTTGAGGCGTCTTGCATATGATTATTCACCTGGTAGTCTGGGGAGGTTACCATGGCAACATGTCCAAAGTCTCCAGTATCTACATGTCATTGATACATCCCATCCATTCAACAAAGGGAGAGGAACAGTCCAAGCTAGCCTCTGTCTCCTCTATGGCTTGCTGACAGTTTTGCTCATTGTTTAATCAAGACCCCAGGACCAGCCAACAAGCAACTCTCTTAATATGGGGCTTTTTCACCTAAATGTATCTTAAAGCAGAAAATTAAATTCCCATCTGTCAGGAATCAATTTGTCCTTTGCTCCTCACCTTTCTCAGCATTATGCTCATGAGTTACTTTTCCCGTCGGACACTGGATACTTTAATTATAATGTTCTGGGCCCCTAATAAGGCATCTCTAAATTCTAAGCCCTTCCTAGATAGGTTAAACATGGTGAAAGATAGCAAGGCCCTGAGGCACCCTGGAGTCATTTCCATAACAGTAGGTACAAGTATTTCCAGAGAGAGAAAGAAAGAAATGTCTTGCCTTTGGCCCTTTGACTGAAGACAAAAGGTGTCTCTCTAAGCATCTTCTAAGGAAAAGGGGAAAGGCCCAGCCTGTCATACCAGCATTGTTCTTATTGAAAGGCAATTATGAAAAGGATTCACAGAGCAATTTATGTAGAGGAACAGACTTCCTCATCAGAACCCCCGCAGGGCACACAGTTCTGCCTTCAGCCCTTATACTGTGAATGAAATATTGATACAATGCCCAACACTAACTAGGAGTCAGAGTCCTGGATGGAGCATCACCCCTGCAGATGACAGAGGATATTTTCATAGTCTGCAGTCCCGCAGTTATGCTCTGAGTTTTGTGTTTCCAGTCCTTGCTAGAGTCTGGAGAGACCATATCAATGCTATTTCATGTCAAACAGTCAGTTTTCAAAGATGGTCATGTGCCACTTTCAGAATCACAGATGGCTAGCCGCTGTGACCTACCTGTGGGTGACCCTTCCATGACGTGGCCAATGTAAGGGCCTTCCCGGAAGATGGGTCTATTGTCATTCTGATCGATCACGATGACTTCCAGAGGCACTGGCCCCTCCAGAGTTTTGCCACTGGCATCTGTGGTCTCCACAAACAGCTGTATGAGCAAAGAGATTGGGAGAGAAAGAAACCATTATTTTTAACATCGAAACAAGGTTCCCCAGAGAAAGTAGGTTATATCAATCATTTTATGAGCCTTTGATGATATTCAAACTCTGGTTTCCATCATGGGTTGTCACCAGAGTGAGAATAGAAACTAAACCATTTATGATATAAGACAAAGATCAGCATGTGTTATGACCCTCTTAGAAAATTCACAATTAAATCATCAAACCTGCAAAAAAAACTTAAACACACACACACACACACACACACACACACTCTCTCTCTCTCTCTCTCTCTTTCTCTCTCTCTCTCTCTACTGCAATCCGCCATAGTTGGGAAAATGTGCTTATACTGTTTGTTTTCCCGACCTCATTACCGTTAAGAGAAACATTACGCTAATAGAAACAGTAGAGAAAGCATCATGAACTGGGGAAACCACAGGGTTTGTGGGGATGCTATGGAGACACTCAGATCAATATACATCTAGAGGCATCCCTCAGGTAAGAAGGCTGGTATGTGCGGGACCCTGCTGAGACCTCAGGACTCCTGCCCACCAGGAATTCCCTAAAAAAGCCAGAGATAGAAACGTCATCCCAGATCCATCAAGTGCTTTCAAAGGAAAGCCTTCCAGATCCCAGCCAAGAAGGCACTGTGGCAATGCAGCCTCAGTCTAGAAGCAGAGCACCATGCCACAGCATTCCCAGGGCATTGTCAAGGTCACATATTCCATTTAATGTGCTTAACTGCGCCTTGGCTTCCCTTGGTAACAGAAGTACCGGCTTTTTGAATGCAAGTGTTCTTCCCTTCGCAGGAGATAACCGTGCACCCTGGTCAGTGGGGGCCACAGTATAGAGCCCTTTCACCGCAATTCTCAATCCCTTGATTTCTTCTTTGGTGAGGACTCTCTCAGCTCAGTGAAGCTGCCAAGATAAACATTACAATCATATTTGCGATGTGCCAATGCGGACATCACAAACTGGTAAACCTGGGCCTACATGGACAGAGGGATTGTTTTCTGTTTGTCTTTAGCAGGGTCATATCCTCTGTGTCAACACACATGAGCACAAACACATACACACACACAGGCACAAATATGCACACACATGTATGCCCACACAAGCATAAACAAGCACATATATGCATGCACACACTGGCACTGTACTCCTACAAGCATTTGATTTCTTGGGCAGATAGCAGCTTAAGTAAGAAAAATTCAAATGGACAAAGGCTTCTATTTCTATTGCACTCAAATGAAATATAAGAGAAAAGAAACTCCGTTTTAAAGCCGAATGGGGGAAGACATGGCTTAGTTGGTAACATGGGACCTAACATCGAATCCCCAGGACCTCATTAACTAGGGGCACAGCACCATGTGCCGACAGCCCAGCAATGAGGAGGAGACAGGAAGGTCCCTGGGTTTGCTGGCCTGTCAGGGTAGACAAATCAGCGGGTACCAGGTTCAGTGAGAGACTGCATCTTGGTCTCCTGCTGGTGCGACAAAATATGCCTCCCTCGCCCACATCCCACACAAAGGCAACTTACCAGAGAAAGAGGTTTTTTTTTGTTTGTTTGTTTTTGTTTTGTTTTGTTTGGCTTTTTTTTTTTTTTTCAGTCTAGGTTTCTGCCCATTATTCCTGGGAAGCCACAGATACAAGCTCTTTTCTTTCTTTCTTTCTTTCTTTCTTTCTTTCTTTCTTTCTTTCTTTCTTTCTTTCTTTCTTTCTTTCTTTCTTTCTCTCTTTCTCTCTCTCTCTCTCTCTCTCTTTCTTTCT